AGCTAGGTCAAAACAACCAGGGCCAGCACAAAAAACAGCAGGAGACAGATCTTGCCTAAAGCCAATGAAAAAGGCTAAAAAATCTGGTAATCTGGTAATCCTAGTTTCAGCTTCATAGCAAACGGGTCACCCCACACATGCTCCGCTCCTGTGCCAACGAAAAACAAACGCAGCTCACAGTGTCACGCCATGCACTCAACTCAGAAGCTGGGCGACGAAACTACATCCTTCCAGTCTACAAATGGAGCAAAAATGCAACGGCCACCGTCTGGAAAAATATTTGCCACGGCTTTAAAAAAAAAAAAAAAAGGTGGCCGTACCTAGCGTCCATTTTGACCGGAAGAATTATATGAGGGTTAATAAACGGTCACCCCAGCAGTACCCTCATTATTAGCTGGGGAAGGGACTTAGGACATTACATCCACCAGCAGGCGTCGCCCCTACAACGACCTGCCTGACCTCGTTAACGACTGTTCACCCAACAGCCATGCAGTTCTTTGGCACGAAGGAGACACCTTGAACTTGGGTTTCGTACTGCCGACTCCCTACTAAGATGTTATTTTATGTTCTGTTATCACAATTAATGTCACTGCACATTGGGCATACCCATGCGTGCTCAGTTCTCCGAAGCAGCAGCCACTCTAAAGTACTTCTACTAATTGTCCCCATGAGAAGCTGGTTATATTGTCTCCTTTCTCGGCCTCGAAGACGGCAAAGACGTGCATCACCATGCTTAACTCCAATGTCACGCAATCGTGTTAGTGTCAGGGATTCCTCATTCTCCACTAGCCCGGTTCGTACAGCGTTGACTATGTCTGCTCTGTCCATACTTTTTCCTGCAATCATTAGTGCAGTGCTTGCCAGTTGGTCTGCTCGCTCATTTCCCTTCACGCCCGCATGACCCGGTGTGTAGATCCAGGTTACGGAGGTTAAGTGCGATTTCCTGATGCTTTCTATCCATTCAGAGCGCATACTGCCTGTTGCTATCTTCTGAAGCATATTCATTGAGTCTGAGACAATTACTACCTGTGTGGCGGTTTGCTCGGATACCCATGCTAAAGCTCTAGAAGCAGCGGCTATTTCCATTGTCATGCTTGACGTGGTTGTCTGGTAAGCGCCGCTGTCCTCATGTATTGTTTTCCCCCTTTCTTTGCGCTGTGTATGCCCATGCTGACCTTGATCCGCGCTTCACAGATCCATCTGTGTAGATGATGGTATCTTCTGGGTCTGAATGCTGATCTATCAGTTCCCTTACTTCTGTGTCTACCGCCGCGGGAATTTGATCCCTGCAGTACCTTCCGAGTGTGATGACAACCTTAGACATGCCATGCATGTCTACTGGTGTATTCGTCCATTCTTTTCCGTGGCTGATCACGTCTAGGTCACATACCTGCTGGATTAAGTCCTCAGCCTTTGCCATCCAAGAGCGGCCCCTTTTGAGACGCGTTCCTTTTGTGTCGTGAATAGCTTTGTGTAATGGGTGGTTAACATCTGCCGATACCCTCATGTAAGCCTTGACCTGTGCCACTTTGTATCTGCTTGTCATAGTCGGCAGACCCAGGATATAACGCATGGCGTTGCAGGAGGTGTCTTTTGTGCAGCCGAGTATGAGTCTCATGGCCTCATTCTGTACTCGGTCCAGTCTTTCTAGCTGGGTTTTGCTGACAGTGAGGAGGCCGAGACCATAGTCAATGACGCTAAGCACAAGCCCTTGATAGAGAAGGAAAAGTAGACGTTGTTCAATATCAGCTGCTGCTAGCACCTTGAGTGCTGTCAAACCTTTCCTGGCTCTAAGTATGACGTTGTCTACGTGGCATTTGTATGACAAGCATCTGTCAAATGTCATGCCCAGGTATTTCATGGTGTCCGTTCTCTCGATGTCCACACCACAGATGCTTACGACTGGCGTTGGTGTACTCACGATGTGGGTATTCAGAGAGAACCATGCTAAAAAATAACGCCACCATCTTCGCAGACAAGCCAGCTTGCCAAACCAAGGAAACACTGAAAGTGCCAGACCAGCCAGCTCGCCAAACTGAGGAAACACTGAAAGTGCCAGATCAGCCAGCTCGCCAAACTGAGGAAACACTGAAAGTGCCAGATCAGCCAGCTCGCCAAACTGAGGAAACACTGAAAGTGCCAGATCAGCCAGCTCGCCAAACTGAGGAAACACTGAAAGTGCCAGATCAGCCAGCTCGCCAAACTGAGGAAACACTGAAAGTGCCAGATCAGCCAGCTCGCCAAACTGAGGAAACACTGAAAATGCCAGATCAGCCAGCTCACCAAACCGTGGAAACACTGAAAGTGCCAGATCAGCCAGCTTGCCAAACCGGGGAAACACTGACAGTGCCAGATCAGCCAGCTCGCCAAACTAAGGAAACACTGAAAGTGCCAGACCAGCCAGCTCGCCAAACTGAGGAAACACTGAAAGTGCCAGATCAGCCAGCTCGCCAAACTGAGGAAACACTGAAAGTGCCAGATCAGCCAGCTCGCCAAACTGAGGAAACACTGAAAGTGCCAGATCAGCCAGCTCGCCAAACTGAGGAAACACTGAAAGTGCTAGATCAGCCAGCTCGCCAAACTGAGGAAACACTGAAAGTGCCAGATCAGCCAGCTCGCCAAACTGAGGAAACACTGAAAGTGCTAGATCAGCCAGCTCGCCAAACTGAGGAAACACTGAAAGTGCCAGACCAGCCAGCTTGCCAAACCAAGGAAACACTGAAAGTGCTAGATCAGCCAGCTTGCCAAACCAAGGAAACACTGAAAGTGCCAGACCAGCCAGCTCGCCAAACTGAGGAAACACTGAAAGTGCTAGATCAGCCAGCTCACCAAACAGGGGAAACACTGAAAGTGCCAGACCAGCCAGCAGAAGTAAAAACAGCTAACAAGAAATATTACCTGAAGACTGAACCGGACATAAAAAGCAAAAATTAAAAACCCAATGAGACATTAACATGATATGTGACCATAATATAACCAAAATGGGCGTATAGCTTAGCTCTCCGACCCTGGTTGAACATGGTCATCGTTACTGAATCAATCAATTAATCAAAGCAACGATAGACTATGAGAGGTATTGTGAGTCCCTTTGTCTGGCACTGCCGTTGCTGGCAAATCATTGTCAGATACAGAAATCAGACCATATGAATATGTAACTTATTGGGTGATGTCAGACACTTGTCCTGACTACAAGAGATATTCTATAAAAAAAAGGCAATGTCCGACACTTGTCTTGACTATGAGAGATTTTCTATAAAAACGGGTGATGTCCCACACTTGTCTTGACTACAAGAGATATTCTATAAAACGGGTGATGTCCCACACTTGTCTTGACTACAAGAGATATTCTATAAAATGGGTGATGTTCCACACTTGTCTTGACCACGAGAGATATTCTATAAAACAGGTGATGTCCCACACTTGTCTTCACTACGAGAGATATTCTATAAAATGGGTGATGTCCCACACTTGCCTCAACTACAAGAGATATTCTATAAAACGGGTGATGTCCCACACTTGCCTCAACTATAAGAGATATTCTATTAAACGGGTGATGTCCCACACTTCTTGACTATGAGAGATATTCTATAAAACGGGTGATGTTCCACACTTGTCTTGACCATGAGAGATTTTCTATAAAACGGGTGATGTCCCACACTTGTCTTCACTACGAGAGATATTCTATAAAATGGGTGATGTCCCACACTTGCCTTGACTACGAGAGATATTCTATAAAACGGGTGATGTCCCACACTTGTCTTGACTACGAGAGATATTCTATAAAATGGGTGATGTTCCACACTTGTCTTGACCACGAGAGATATTCAGCATTGTCTGATCCTTATAGAATATGAGAGGTATTGTGAGTCCCTTTGTCTGGCACCGCCGTTGTTGGCAGATCATTGTCAGATACAGAAATCGGACCATATGAGTCAAGTGTCTTGACTACGAGAGGTATTCTATAAAACGGGTGATGTCCCAGACTTGCCTCAACTACAAGAGATATTCTAAAAAACGGGTGATGTCCCACACTTGCCTCAACTACAAGAGATATTCTAAAAAACGGGTGATGTCCCAGACTTGCCTTAACTACAAGAGATATTCTAAAAAACGGGTGATGTTCCACACTTGCCTCAACTACAAGAGATATTCTAAAAAATGGGTGATGTCCCACACTTGCCTCAACTACAAGAGATATTCTAAAAAACGGGTGATGTTCCACACTTGCCTCAACTACAAGAGATATTCTAAAAAATGGGTGATGTCCCACACTTGCCTCAACTACAAGAGATATTCTAAAAAACGGGTGATGTCCCACACTTGCCTCAACTACAAGAGATATTCTAAAAAACGGGTGATGTCCCACACTTGTCTTGACTACGAGAGATATTCTACAAAACTGGTGATGTGAATATGTAACTTATCTTCAAAATCAGAAGCTGCCAGAAGTGAAAAAAAAAAAGCCGAAGGAAATGGCTCAAATGGTGCAAATACTGGTATTACTAGAGAATTATGGAGGAAATTAAAGGAAAAGCACAATTCTATCAGCACTGTAAACCAGGAACACACTGAACACACGGACAAAGCGAACGACAATGACATTAAAGGGCTTCTACAGTGACAAGGAATGACCATAGCCATTGCTGCCCATCAAACAATGGATCACAAACTCTTTCTTCCCACTTCCCTTAACGGCAGAAGTGGAAAATATTGATGAAATGATGATGATGATGAGTTACCTTAACAAAACTCCCTTAACATTAACCAACTCAGATGACCTGATAAATGCAGCAGTGATGACAAATTATGCTTTAAAAAACAAAACCGCTATGTATCTGACAATAAAAATCACAATTTTCATATTTAACATTTATGCTGTCTATCTTCTTCAGACAGAGTACAACTGTAGTGTAACCTTAAAAAAAAAAAAAAAACCAAAAACAAAGTGTCGCATGTATAAGAGAACAAGAGCTGGCGATTGTTAAAATCCTACATCAAGGTCAGCTCAGTTGAAACTCCATACTCGGCGACCTTGCTATTTCCTTGTAGCAGGGCTTGCAGACGGGAACCGGCCGCCTGTGGTAGTGGCCAGGAAGTGGAATATTTCTAGCGATGCACCGGGTGCAGAAAACATCACCACATCTCCAACAGTGGAACTGGGGAAAATAAATAAAAATAAAACTAATCTAAAAAAAAAAAAAACATCCACAAAAACTATCTTGTAAGCTAAACATGTAAAAAATATGTGTAAAAAGATATTTCTGAAATGTTACTACAAAGTCTGCGCTGTCTCTGCAATGAAGGCTGGTGACAGTATACAACTGTCTTTGGAAATATTACGTGCTGAAGTAATGCACTTAATGTTATGGCAGAAATGGACACAAAATAAAGAATATTCTTCACAATGTTCCAGTATTTGATCCTGTCAGTGATAGATTACCTAGATTTGGAATGCTGACCGTATCAAAGTGTCAGCTGATGAAACTTCAACCCATCAGATTTAGGCATAAGGGCAATTCTGGGATGTACAAGAGATACCCTGGTAGTATGTATGTGACAGCCTACTATTTCAGACAGGCTCAAAGTGCTGCAAGCAATGTCATATTTCAGAGTAGCCACAGATAAGAAACATCTCCTAAAAGCCCTAGACAGAGCTAAGGGTCACAGATTGGAAAGGGGAGAGGAAGGGCTTGGATAGCGCAAGTTGAAGACACAATCAGACATGTGTGCAGGCTTGATAACATTAGGCGAGGAGAGGAATGGGTCAGAATGTCCCAGGAAAAGTCAGACTTGTGTGGGGTTATGATCACATCGGGCCGTGAGTGCGCAGGGACTGGCCAGTGGGCTCTGCAGAATTAGAGGTTCATCAATTGATTCGTGACAATTCTCGCCCAGGTGATGTGATAATCTACACAGATGGCTCTGTGGTGAGAGGCAGACGAAGCTCATGGGGCTCTTAGCAAAAGTGAATGGGCATTGCTCAGTGCAACAAAGCCTGGCATATGATCCAAAACATCTAGTTTAAGAATGGAGGTGGAGGCAGTAACTGCAGCCTTTCGCTAGCTTATGGGCAGACTAAGAGAGAAAGACTTGGATTCAAAATCTAAGGATCCGGATAGGCCTAAAATACAAAATATCAAACTCAGGGCATTGGAATGATTTGATAAAATAGTAACTTGGTGACCCAATGAAATAAAGTCTTGTGTGACTAGATGGATAGATAGAAGGACAGATACAAGTCAAAAACAAGCATTAGCTACAAAATAAAATTAAAATAAAATTCATTCAGGGAGGGGGCACTAAGAGAGAGGATGCTGGTTGTTCAGCATCATGTCATGAAAGAACATCTGTATAAGAAATGACAGGCAGTGCATGATCCAGCAGGCTGCAATAGATGTGATAACCAGCATCACAAAGCTGGACTACACAAAGAAGAAAAACAGTTAGAGAAAATGAGGACAACTAAGTGTTAAGCTAAGCTCAACCAATCAAGTGCCATCTCCACAATCATCATCATCATCATCAATTTCTACTGCTTCTCATGAGGAGGAACTGTGTGCAATCCATTGCTAGACGGGCAGCAATGGCTATTGTCAATTCCGTGTCAATCTTTAATGTCATCAATCCATTTTCTCACAGGGTGACCTCTTGCTTTCACATCTGATCTTTTAATGTGCGGAACGTGCGTTGGTAGTTGTTCTGGCCGCATTCTTACTAGATGAATACCATTTGATCTTCTATTTCTCAACGAATCTGCTGCATGGTTTTGTTACCACAGCCTGCCTGATATCATTTATAAGGGGTAGTGGTAAATGAGGAGGGTAAAGAAGAACCTGGTATGAAAACATCAAGAAATGGACAGGACAAAGTTATCATTCACTTATACATCAAGCGAAAGACAGAGAAAGATGGCAGCTTTTGTGTGCGAGTGCTTCAATCGATACACCTCCATGACCCTAACGGATCAAGGATTATGGTATGGTAACTTTACTTCACTCCTCTCAACTGTATCTTTACTTCCTTCCTCTCAAGTGATCCTCTCAACTTTAACTTGACTTCCTTCCTCTCAAGTGATCCTCTCAACTGTATCTTTACTTCCTTCCTCTCAAGTGATCCTCTCAACTTTAACTTGACTTCCTTCCTCTCAAGTGATCCTCTTAACTGTATCTTTACTTCCTTCCTCTCAAGTGATCCTCTCAACTGTATCTTTACTTCCTTCCTCTCAAGTGATCCTCTCAACTTTAACTTGACTTCCTTCCTCTCAAGTGATCCTCTCAACTTTAACTTGACTTCCTTCCTCTCAAGTGATCCTCTCAACTTTAACTTAACTTCCTTCCTCTCAAGTGATCCTCTCAACTGTATCTTTACTTCCTTCCTCTCAAGTGATCCTCTCAACTGTATCTTTACTTCCTTCCTCTCAAGTGATCCTCTCAACTTTAACTTGACTTCCTTCCTCTCAAGTGATCCTCTCAACTTTAACTTTACTTCCTTCCTCTCAAGTGATCGTCTCAACTTTTAACTTAATCTCTCTTATATGATCCCCTGAACTTTAACTTTACTTCCTTCCTCTCAACTTTTAACTTTACTTCCTTCCTCTCAACTTTAACTTGACTTCCTTCCTCTCAAGTGATCCTTCCAACTTTAATTTTACTTCCTTCCTCTCAAACTTAACTTAACTTCCTTCCTCTCAAGTGATCCTCCCAACTTTAACTTTACTTCCTTCCTCTCAAGTGATCCTCCCAACTTTAACTTTACTTCCTTCCTCTCAAACTTAACTTAACTTCCTTCCTCTCAAGTGATCCTCTCAACTTTAACTTGACTTCCTTCCTCTCAAGTGATCCTCTCAACTTTAACTTGACTTCCTTCCTCTCAAGTGATCCTCTCAACTTTAACTTTACTTCCTTCCTCTCAAGTGATCGTCTCAACTTTTAACTTTACTTCATTTCTCTTAAGTGATCCCCTGAACTTTAACTTTACTTCCTTCCTCTCAACTTTTAACTTTACTTCCTTCCTCTCAACTTTAACTTGACTTCCTTCCTCTCAAGTGATCCTCCCAACTTTAACTTTACTTCCTTCCTCTCAAACTTAACTTAACTTCCTTCCTCTCAAGTGATCCTCCCAACTTTAACTTTACTTCCTTCCTCTCAAGTGATCCTCCCAACTTTAACTTTACTTCCTTCCTCTCAAGTGATCCTCCCAACTTTAACTTTACTTCCTTCCTCTCAAGTGATCCTCCCAACTTTAACTTTACTTTCTTCCTCTCAAGTGATCCTCTCAAACTTAACTTAACTTCCTTCCTCTCAAGTGATCCTCCCAACTTTAACTTTACTTCCTTCCTCTCAAGTGATCCTCTCAAACTTAACTTAACTTCCTTCCTCTCAAGTGATCCTCCCAACTTTAACTTTACTTCCTTCCTCTCAAGTGATCCTCTCAAACTTAACTTAACTTATTTCCTCTCAAGTGATCCTCTCAACTTTTAACCATAGTTCTTTCAGCAACTGATCCTCTCAAACTTAACTATCTTTCACTCTCTCCAGAACCTGTTTAATAACAACCATGCAACTCACTCCTTTACTGGGATGTTTCCACAATGGAGGTTGGCTGCAGTGTATCCAGTGCTAACTGAGAATATTATGTGCTAAAGTCCCAATCTCTTCCATGGTTTGACTCTCATACCACTGCCTGAAAGCCAAAGGAATGATTTCTTCCTAACCCAGCCACAGTGATAACTGAACTCTGGTTAATGTCGAATATTGCATTGTGAAATGATTTCATTAACCTCTAAGGCACAGTCGCACCAGGTGATTAACAAAATCTAACAGACACAAACATATGCCCAGCTGATACCTTTTTAACATAGTAGTCAAACGGAGTCGCACATGAGCAGTTCTGAACATTACGGAAAGACTTCCACCCTACAGCAACTGACTTGACCTAGACATCTGCGAGCTGGATTCGTCAAACCCAGACTCAGAGTCACTCTTCAGGTGGTTGCCAGTGATGCCTTCCAAGTGAGGAAGACGTCCGTTGGGGGTGAGGTCTGTGTTGGAGCTGTTGTTGTGGGTGTTCTCATCCTGGTTGGGGGACTTGGACACAGCTGAGCCATCCCCAATGTGGTTGATCAAAAAGCCGTCTATGGAGTCCATGGATAAATGCCCTTGCAGCTTCTTCTGAATAATCTCATCTGATTTCCCTAGAAGCTTGCAGATTTGGGTCACTCTCTGTAGAGGAAGATGAGAAGAAAAAAATACATGATACTGCAGCTTTGATACTGTGGGTAGGACACTGTGGCTGGGATAAGGCAAATATATAACTGAAAATGCTTTTGTGAATATAACAGTGCGAACAATAAACTGTGAAAATGCTACTGTGAATATGAGCGTGAACAGTGAAAATGAGTGTGAACTAGAAATTGAAAATGCTCCTGTGAATATAAGTGTGAACATGATTCTGTGACAGTTTTACTGTGAATATTATACTGTGACTATGATCCTGTGAACATGACACTGTGAATATAGCAAAGTGAGTGTGACAATGTGAACACAACACTGTGAGCAAGATACTGTGAAGACTACAGAGTGAATTCAATACTGTGAGATAAAAACAATGAATATGATACTGCAAATTCATTATGATGAATATGATACTGCAAATTCATTATGGTAAGTATGATAATTTGAATTCAATGTGAGGAATATAATAATGTCAGTATAGCACAATGATTATGATAGTGTGAACATGATACAGTGACACAGAATGACTGCAATGAGAGAAAAAAAATGTGACACCATAAGCTAGAATAATTATAATGCTAAAGTTAGTTGCATATCCTTTACAGGCCATTGCAGAACCAAACACCACCATTTTTTGGCTGTTGTGGTTTTTCTAGTCAAATTTACGTCCAGTAGTTTGCCATTGTTTCCTGGACGGTTAGCTTCTCGATACTACTGTTGAAACCAACGCAAGGCGCAAGGACCGCAGTTGGAATCAAACCCAGCACCTCAGCATTAAGAGGTGTTCGCAGCACCTAAGCCACAGATGTAATTATAATAAGATTTAAAAAATAATAAATAATGTAGCTCAGAATCATTGCAATGAGAAAAACAGTTATGATGTTATTTCTACTTTGAACTGAAATCATTGTGATGAGAAATAGAACCTTCCTGGCCCTCCCCCCCCCCAAAAAAAAACCTAAAAGCACACACTTTCATGTCTAGAGGTGGAGAAGGGTTTATAGTTCTAGCAGCAGCAACAACAGAAACAGCAACTACAGCAGGAGTAAGGAATCCTTTTCAGTGCTTGATGTGTATCAGTTACACGGTAAAGGAAGAACAAAATCACTTTCCCACCATTAGCTCTTCTATTAGTTCTTGGGTGTGTGCTGTATACACTGGTTAGTTCCTAGGAGTTATCTGTTTAAAAACACGCCCAGGAACTAACTGATGGATATGGAAACTGACAGCAAAAGACAGGATGCATTGGCGTGACTTGGCTGATAGCCTATGCCCAGTGGGGTATAGAGGGCAGAAGAAGAAGAAGAAGGAGGAGGAGGAGGAGGAGAGAGAAGAAGAAGAAGAAAAAAAAAGATACACTCACAAACTAGTAAATGCTTAAAGAAACACACAGGGACTGATAATACAAACATACGCAGGAATTACAGATGGTAACAGACACAGTCATGAACTACCTGTCATAAACTGACACAATCAGCAACTAGCTGATGTATACAGGCACACTTAGGAACTAATACAAGTGTTTATTAACACAGACAAACTTGGAACTAACTGATGTAAACAGAAACTCCTCATGAACTAATGATGTATGAAGACACTAAGAGAATAAAAAATGTCTTTAAAAAAAAGGGTTGCATAAAGACACATTTAGAAATTAACTGACAAATAAAGATATACTCAGGAATAACTGAGGAACTAATACACAGACAAGCACTGACAAATGTTACTCTCTCTCTCTCACACACAAAAGATATACTTGGGAATAACTGAGGAACTAATACACAGACAAGCACTGACAAATGTTACTCTCTCTCTCTTACACAAAAGATATACTCAGGAATAACTGAGGAACTAATGAACTGACATACAAAGACTTGCTCAGGAAACAACTTATGTATAAATACATACTCAGGATCTAACAAACATAAAACAAAAAACACTTAGGGACTAACTGACATAAAAATACGAACTCAAGAGGTAACTGACATAAAGATGTACAAATAAACTGGTATATGAAGATACTCAGAAACTAACTAACACAAATGTATAAAGAAAAATCCAGGAACTAACTGACTTATAAATACATACTCTGGAATTAATTGACATCTTAAAACATTTTCAGAAACTGATGTATATGCTCAGGAACTAATTGCCAAAAAGCTTCCACTACTGCCAGTATTTACCACTGAAGTGTCAGCAGTGAGGTCTTTTGGCCTGAGGATTAAAGGCCGCATGGCTAGAGCTGTTGCCATGAAATGTGCAGGTAAGAATTTGTTTGCCTCCCAACTTTACCGATGATTCAAACCCACATCTCCCTCTTGAGATCTCAGCTTTTTAACAGTTTGGCCAGCTGCTCCTCATTTTAAATAAACTTTCAGGAACCAACTGCTGTATAATGAAGACACTCATGAACTAGCTAATGTCTAAAGAAACACTCAGCCACAAACTGCTGTATAATGAAGACACTCATGAACTAGCTAATGTTTAAAGAAACACTCAGCCACAAACTGCTGTATAATGAAGACACTCATGAGCTAGCTAATGTCTAGAGAAACACTCAGCAACAAACTGCTGTATAATGAAGACACTCATGAACTAGCTAATGTTTAAAGAAACACTCAGCCACAAACTGCTGTATAATGAAGACACTCATGAACTAGCTAATGTTTAAAGAAACACTCAGCCACAAACTGCTGTATAATGAAGACACTCATGAGCTAGCTAATGTTTAAAGAAACACTCAGCAACAAACTGCTGTATAATGAAGACACTCATGAACTAGCTAATGTTTAAAGAAACACTCAGCCACAAACTGCTGTATAATGAAGACACTCATGAACTAGCTAATGTTTAAAGAAACACTCAGCCACAAACTGCTGTATAATGAAGACACTCATGAGCTAGCTAATGTTTAAAGAAACACTCAGCAACAAACTGCTGTATAATGAAGACACTCATGAGCTAGCTAATGTTTAAAGAAACACTCAGCAACAAACTGCTGTATAATGAAGACACTCATGAACTAGCTAATGTTTAAAGAAACACTCAGCCACAAACTGCTGTATAATGAAGACACTCATGAACTAGCTAATGTTTAAAGAAACACTCAGCAACAAACTGCTGTATAATGAAGACACTCATGAACTAGCTAATGTTTAAAGAAACACTCAGCAACAAACTGCTGTATAATGAAGACACTCATGAACTAGCTAATGTTTAAAGAAACACTCAGCCACAAACTGCTGTATAATGAAGACACTCATGAACTAGCTAATGTTTAAAGAAACACTCAGCCACAAACTGCTGTATAATGAAGACACTCATGAGCTAGCTAATGTCTAGAGAAACACTCAGCAACAAACTGCTGTATAATGAAGACACTCATGAACTAGCTAATGTTTAAAGAAACACTCAGCAACAAACTGCTGTATAATGAAGACACTCATGAACTAGCTAATGTTTAAAGAAACACTCAGCCACAAACTGCTGTATAATGAAGACACTCATGAGCTAGCTAATGTCTAGAGAAACACTCAGCAACAAACTGCTGTATAATGAAGACACTCATGAACTAGCTAATGTTTAAAGAAACACTCAGCCACAAACTGCTGTATAATGAAGACACTCATGAACTAGCTAATGTTTAAAGAAACACTCAGCCACAAACTGCTGTATAATGAAGACACTCATGAGCTAGCTAATGTCTAGAGAAACACTCAGCAACAAACTGCTGTATAATGAAGACACTCATGAACTAGCTAATGTTTAAAGAAACACTCAGCAACAAACTGCTGTATAATGAAGACACTCATGAACTAGCTAATGTTTAAAGAAACACTCAGCCACAAACTGCTGTATAATGAAGACACTCATGAACTAGCTAATGTTTAAAGAAACACTCAGCCACAAACTGCTGTATAATGAAGACACTCATGAACTAGCTAATGTTTAAAGAAACACTCAGCCACAAACTGCTGTATAATGAAGACACTCATGAGCTAGCTAATGTCTAGAGAAACACTCAGCAACAAACTGCTGTATAATGAAGACACTCATGAACTAGCTAATGTTTAAAGAAACACTCAGCAACAAACTGCTGTATAATGAAGACACTCATGAACTAGCTAATGTTTAAAGAAACACTCAGCCACAAACTGCTGTATAATGAAGACACTCATGAACTAGCTAATGTTTAAAGAAACACTCAGCAACAAACTGCTGTATAATGAAGACACTCATGAACTAGCTAATGTTTAAAGAAACACTCAGCCACAAACTGCTGTATAATGAAGACACTCATGAACTAGCTAATGTTTAAAGAAACACTCAGCCACAAACTGCTGTATAATGAAGACACTCATGAGCTAGCTAATGTCTAAAGAAACACTCAGCCACAAACTGCTGTATAATGAAGACACTCATGAGCTAGCTAATGTCTAAAGAAACACTCAGCAACAAACTGCTGTATAATGAAGACACTCATGAACTAGCTAATGTTTAAAGAAACACTCAGCAACAAACTGCTGTATAATGAAGACACTCATGAACTAGCTAATGTTTAAAGAAACACTCAGCAACAAACTGCTGTATAATGAAGACACTCATGAACTAGCTAATGTTTAAAGAAACACTCAGCAACAAACTGCTGTATAATGAAGACACTCATGAACTAGCTAATGTTTAAAGAAACACTCAGCAACAAACTGCTGTATAATGAAGACACTCATGAACTAGCTAATGTTTAAAGAAACACTCAGCAACAAACTGCTGTATAATGAAGACACTCATGAACTAGCTAATGTCTAAAGAAACACTCAGCAACAAACTGCTGTATAATGAAGACACTCATGAACTAGCTAATGTCTAAATAAACTTTCAGGAACCAACTGCTGTATAATGAAGACACTCATGAACTAGCTAATGTTTAAAGAAACACTCAGCCACAAACTGCTGTATAATGAAGACGCTCATGAACTAGCTAATGTCTAAAGAAACACTCAGCCACAAACTGATACATATACGCACCTTCTCCAGCAACACGACATGGTCTTCTAAAGAGAAACTGTGATCTTTGGCAGCACTGACGATATCCATTAGGTTCTCCCTCGGGTGAAGGCCACTTTCAAATCTATTGTACATGCCCTTCCAATACCTGCAGGGAAAGGTCAGGTAAGGATTTTACAGACACAGTTACTGATACTCTTGTAGGTGTCTCCACCTTGCCGCGGTGGGGGAGCTTGTGTTTCTCAACGACCCTGCGAGCTATTCCGGCAGCTACCAGCCGGGCTTTCTAAGCTGGAAAGGTCAAAGGGAGGAGAACAGACTAACAGAGACATCCTGGTCCTCCAAGTTGGGACTTGAAGAGTGGGGCCAACACCCCCATCTTCGTAACACCTAATTTCATCATGAAACAGACATCTAAGCCTTGATTTCATATGCTAAAGTCAAGTCTCTATCTTGCAACACCAAGATTAAAATACACACAGATAAGGCCAGTAGTTTCATATGGCTCTGAAACTTGGAGCACAACTAACAGATATGAAGCCTTATTATATATTTTCGAAAACAGTCTTACAACGAATCTCTGGACCCAACAAAGATGCAAACTGCAGGTAGCAGAGAGTGAGAAGCAACAACAAAATTAATAATCTGTTTAAATCACCACTGATCACTGGCATCATGAGGGTTAACAGACTGAAATGGCTGGGACATATTAAAAGAATGTCAGGTGACAGAGAGGTAAAAACTGTATACACAACTGAGCTGAATGGTCGTAGACCACGAGGCAGACCAAGAAGACGGTGGAGAGATAATATCCACACAGATCTACAAACACTTGGTGTCACCAAGTTGAAAGAGAAGGTTAACCAGAGAGGTGAATGGAGTCGGGCAATATCTGCAGCAATGAACCTCAAGGGCTTGGAATGCTGAAGAAGTAGAGAAGTTAATGATACACTTTACGAGTACAGTTTATTTGAGACATCATAAGTTGAGTTCAACTGATTCAACAGACACCACAGCACTTGGGGCATTACTATAAGTGACTTCTGGTTCAGAAATGGCGGCCCACTAGGAATGCTATTGTTGTTGGCAATGAAAGAGTCGATCAACTGACCAGTTCTGTCTTAGTTGCAGATGGCCAACCTATGGATCGCACCAACATTGTTAATGCAATCAGAGAGATAGAATGATCAGAAGATTTGGGGAATAGAGTGTCCACATCAATGCTAAAAATGTGAAAATTGGGAGTAAAGATTGGAACAGTCAGGTATAAGAAGCGCACTTGACATACAAAATGTCTTGTCAACCAGCATAGGACTAGCACTATTAAAAACATGATGCTGATGAATATGTCAAAGGGGGAATCTGAGCACCTATGGACGTGTCCGGAGTGCCGAGAAGATAATCTAACTCATAGCTCACAATCAAATCTCTGATTGCACAGTGACTTTGGAGCTAACTGTAGTGACACATGTGAAAGTGACATGATGACATCTACTATCAATTATATATATCACACAATGATATAAACCACACAATAACATCTACCACACAATATACTCCACTCAATAACACACACAGCACAATAACATACACTAATTATTAACATCTACCACACATAAAAAAATACACCATACAATGACATACATTACACAGTGACAAACACTACACAACAACATATACCGCACAATAACATACACAATGACATAACCATAAAATAACATCTACCACACAATAACACATCACACAATAACAGACACCACACAATGACAGACACCACACCAAAAAAAAAACATCTATGACACAATGACATAACCATAAAATAACATCTACCACACAATAACACACCACACAATAACAGACACCACACAATGACAGACACCGCACCAAAAAAAACATCTATGACACAATGACATAACCATAAAAAAACATCTACCACACAATAACACACCACACAATAACAGACACCACACAATGACAGACACCACACCAAAAAAAACATCTATGACACAATGACATAACCATAAAATAACATCTTCCACACAATAACACACCACACAATAACAGACACCACACAATGACAGACACCACACAATGACAGACACCACACCAAAAAAAACATATATGACACAATGACATAACCATAAAATACCACACAATAACACACCACACAATAACAGACACCCCACAATGACAGACACCACAAAAAAACATCTACGACACAATAACATACACTACAAAAATCAAACTGACTTAAGAGTCTGGGGGGCGGAGCTTGGTATGATGACTGGCAGCTTAATCTCATAGGTCTTCTTGTACAAGGGGTTCAGGAACTCAGAGGAATGATAAGACAGGTAGCCCCACAGTGAATATGTCCTCTCTGACAACCTGTTACAGACATGAAAAAAAAATCACATCTGGATGAGTTAACAATTAAATGGAAACTTGTTTTATAAATGTGTACAGATACTTGAATTAAAATTAAAAACTGCACACAAACAACTCAAATAAAAAAAAAATACTGCATTCTTGAAATCTTGAATTACAGCTAACAAACTGCATACTAAAAACTTGAGTTATAAATGACAAACTGCACATTGAAAGCTTGAATTACAACTAAGAAATGGAACAATGAAAATCTGAATTACAGCTAACAAACAACACACTGAAACATTTAAATTACAACTGAGAAGCTGCATTTTGTAAATGACCTGGCAAGGTTAACCCTGACAACAAATCCCTGCAATAACCAAAGCCAAGATGTGTACTATTCTTAGATGCACTAGAGACACCTCATGTAAATCCATGTGATAACTCTTGGATTTCCCCCACAATGGAAAACAGAATCAAGCTGTCCGGGGTTGCTTTCCTCAAAGTGAAATAAGACCATCAACACCCACGTTATGAGGACTTATTCAAGCAAAAAAAGAATAGACTCAAACGAGGCAAATCCTGGATGGGTTAGGTGGAGGATGCCATTGAACATGTTTGCCGCCTTACTGACATTAATTTTGGAAATGAATGGATAATTATGCCTCTTTCTCTAAAAATTAAAATTACAGTCCACATCACACTTGATGGAAGCTGTAGAGAGCAGATTCCTGGCACTGTGACACTTTAGTCACAACACTGATTTGATGAAAACACAGATGAAGGTGATGCTATAGTTTACACAGCCGGGTCGGTACTTTGGGGCATGTGAAGTGCATGGGCATTCACAGTAAGCTCAAGGGGGAAAACCATCAAGGAGATGAATAGCGCCTTTGTTGTTACAACTAGTAGCCTTACAATGGAAACTATGGCTGTAACAAGGGCTTTAGCATGGCGTGGTACTCAAAAGTTCACACACGTATGCATTCTTAGTGAGTCGATGAATATGCTTAAACAAATCCAGGCTGGTTTCATCAGACAAGAATGGATTGCAACACTAAGCACTTCGTGATTGGCTGCCCTAACCTTGATCTTTGTTTCAGGTCATGCAGGTGTTCAGGGAAGCGAGTGTGCAGACTATCTTGCAGACACTGCAATTGCTATGGCTTGTCCGCTACTGGACAGAAGCGATGTTATCATTCCCATGAGCAGCACTCACCGTGACAACAAGCACGCCAAAGGGCATGACTTAGTATCCCTGTCTAGGCTGAGGAACAGGGGGTTGCAAGAAATGAACATTTCACTAAGGGAACAAGATGTTTCATTAATCAACAAAGAACAGGCTTCAGCCATTTTGTCACTTAAGGAACTTATGAGTAGGAGATTGGAGCACCTATGGATCTGTCCAGAGTGCTGTGATGATAATCCTTACTAATCACTTATCACAAAATCTGCAGAAGTCGGAAGTGTTGGCCAAAAGGCAGCTGTGTTGTAAATGGCCACACCGCATAAATGTCTTCGGATGAACGCAGAAGAACATTTGTATATGACAAAGATGGCGGCAATATTTTTGACATATCATGAGGAAAAACAGGAAAACATCAAACAAGTCCTGGAACTGGATACAAATGGATTAAAGAAATTAAGAAACTACAAAGGAAACCCTGAAACGAACACTGCCTCGAGAGGCCAAAGGTGCTGGACTGGATGGATTCTATCCTCCATAATACTGCGAGGACTGTATAGGATATAACAAAATTGAGGACGAGACTCTGAGCCTTATGTGACATATAACGGCACAACAGGGTGGTGATAAGCCACGACATCCCTGCACGTGCTGTATTTCCTTCCACATAGCCAAAGAAAGAGTTGACATGATAACAGTGTCAGCTGCAACGTGATAAAAAGTCCGCCTATGTTCTCTCTTCCCCCCCCCCCCCCCCCCCACCCGCCTCGAGGTCTGAATATCTTCCATACCCTTTGGTCACACACAACCCCCCCCCACCTCCAATCAGTCTATCAATGTATGAAAGCTTGGTCTGTTCTCTTGCACTGTCCACTTGATCCATGAGAACATACACCCTGTCCACTTTATCATTAAGCAGCTCACCACCCAGAGGAGCCGCAACAGCCAGTCTATCAGCTTGTTCATTACCCCGCAGACCTGAAACTCCTAGACAGAAAATCCATAGTAAGCTCCTGATCTGAGTCTTGCCATGTAATATAAGCCACTCTACGCGTAGAGTGCCAGTTTCTTTTTTTCGGAAGCATGCTCTGCGAGTGAATGAATGAATTATACCATGAAACAATAAACAGCAAAAGAACTCATGGAAAACACACCTGAGGTCCAGCCTATCCTTCTCACAGTTGCCAATGAAAGTTCCAAACTGGCAAGAGTAGGCATGGTCATGGATGGTGACCAGAAACCTCTCGTTAAACTGGAAAGCACAGGGGAACTGCTGCATGATCTGCCAGACACACTCCAGGAACTGCGTGAAAACTGGGGACGTCTCCTTCACATCCACACTGTCCAGCAGACCACAGCGGTCAGTGAACTTGTGGCCAAAAGCTAGCCACTCTTTCTCAATCAGGGCCTGGAGTGGTAGTAAGAAAACTGTCAGCGAGGGCATATGAAAGTGCCAACTTGGAATTTTAATGCTTCAAAATTATAACAACTTTTCAAAATTATAACAACTTAGAATACAAACACAATTTTCAATTAATTCTATCTTAGACCTCGAATGTTACCTTAGAAACTGAAGGCCAGGCTTGTATGTACTTTTCCTCCTCCTACTTCTATGTACTATGTCAGCACTGTTTATCAAGGTGCAGTAAATACAATGTTTTTATATCTTTTTTCTTTTAATAAATAATAAAAAAAAATTTAATATGATCATTGTTTATTACTGTATTTACAGTGGACTGTATTTAAGAAAATAAATTAAAAAAATTCAAGTTTGTTGGACCCTGAAACAGACTAATTTAGTATGCACTATTTTCAATGGGGGAAAAACTGCCTTGCAACCTTGAAGATTTAAAACTTGATTGCCACCTCGGAACAGATTATGCTCGAATTCCGAGGTACCACTGTAATGACACCTGTGTTTTGTCTCCATAAAAGAGGGTGGCTGGAGTGCATTCACAGCTGTCTCTGGGAATAATAGGTGGTGAGAACTTCCATGGTGCAACTCTAACACCTTTACCCAAACCCACATTAACATCTTCTGAATTGCCCATCAAGTTAATTAGCCCTGGTGCATACCTATCTCCTGCTCCAAGGGGGAGACACATCAGAGGGATCTCTCTGTGTGATACCCTGGAACAGGTATGTCAAACGTGCAGCCCTGTGCAAGCACGCCTGTGGCCAGCAATAAAAAAAACCACTGTGCAACAATTTTGAATCAATGACTTCAATTAGCTCTCAACTTTGGCTTTCATGAACAATACAAATGTCACCTATATGGCCCTCAGGGGATCTTGAGTCTGACATAGCTACCCTAGATGGAACCAGTCACCCCTTTTGTAAGTTCCAGGGCTTCTTTGTGAAAAGGGGAAACATTTACCCACTGCTACTCAACAAACATGCTACAAAATTGACTATTTAAGGGTGCTGAAATCAGACGTGTTGGACTGAAAGGTGCAAATATCACTGCCTAGCTGTAAACAACAACATGTCCACAGTCTTCTTGAGGCAAACATTGAAGCAGAATCAGTTAGCTGGTCCTCTATGAGCTGCGAAGTCATAGCTTATTTGGCACAAAATAGTCTCTGATCGAGTTTTATTCTCAAAAGAGGTAAAGTGTTTCATTCTCACAAGATGTTTCCTGTGCCAATTTCATTCTTCCAAGCTGTTCTCTGATGGAGAGAAGCTAATTCTGAAAGTGATTCCAGGCATACGTACCTGAAAACCTTGCATCGTCCTGTAGTATGGGTCCAACATAAGGCCAGCCAGAGAGCATGTCTGCGCTGTACGGTCCCAGCCATCGGAGCAGTGCACCAAAACACTCACACCATCACTAATTGCCTGTGTATACATAAAGAGTCTGTCATGACACTATCATAGCATACATTTAAATTATAATTAAAAAAAAAAAACTATCTTTATTGCCTTTATGTATAAAGAGCCTATCAGGAAAACAACATATCAAACATGTTAATTGTAATTAAAAATAACAATCCTTACTGCCTGTATTTACAATTTTTAGGGTACTGCACCTAAGGATTTAGGGTATTCATTGATTGGGCAGTTTAGGAATTTGTATTACTGGCTCCCAGGTCGACCCAGCCTTGACTGAGTACTAGGTACAAGTCCTGGGAAGTAAAGGCTGACCACATCACACATTAAAGTACTGATGCCTATAAAAAAAAATAGGTCTAGCCCTATATGTCTAATACACCTCAAGGTAGGCTGGGCAGATCAGTATGTTATTGTTGTCCTTGATAGAAAAACATCAGAATTTTACTGATTCTCCTTCTGCCTTCATGCGACATAAATGTGCTGTGCTTGTTTACAACATGACTGTGATATTTGCACCTTTCGGCCGACACAACTGTCTTTGCAAGCATCTATTGCCCGGGTTAGCCTTTCCGGGACTTTACTGATGCAACCCGGGTCTCCGCATGAGAGCCCAGGTGTTCTTAACAATATGGCCAGTCGTTCCTCAACAACAACAACAAAACTTTGGCTGAAGCACTCACAAAAACACCTGGCCATGATTACAGTAATCTAAACATGTACAGCTAAACACAACCTGGCCTCGTGCAACTGACAGAACAGACCAAAGTTCTCAACACACCATAGGAAAATATAAACTATTCTCACAAGTCCTATAATCATGACTCTAATTCTGGCAGTATATTATTAAAATCTACAGTCTTGTCTGTGATTCTTTCACACATGTTATTATGTGTGCACTCTATGTAGGTGTTTATGCCTTTTAATTTTTCCATCAATACAGATAACTCAACGGGGAATTTCACAAGGTGTTTCACATTGCTGTGAATGTCACATGAACTGTAATTCAATCTCTGCAAGCAACTGGATATCTGTCACATACGAAAACAGTATAACTTCCACTTGTGACGAATGGGCTGACATGGTAGAGAGGGAGTGAGATGTGTGAGTGAGTGAGTGAGTGAGTGAGTGAGTGAATGAGAGAGAGAGAGAGAGAGAGAGAGAGAGAGAGACAGACAGAAGGACAGACAGACAGAGAGAGAGAGACAGAGAGTGAGATGAGAGAGTGGGCAGGGAGAGAGGGCAAGGGGGTGGTGACAGACAGATGAGAGAGAGAGAGATGGGTGATTGGGTGTGTGGGTGCGAGGCTAACTAATTATGATAATGAATCAGGAAATAAGTTTATATATAGCTATTTATGAGGCACATATACTTAGGTGTTTTGACAGCAGTTTTATAAGTCCGATGTCGATTCAGCTGTATGGGATTTTGACAATGGTAAGAGTGTCAACCATTAGAAAAGCAATGGCAAACAAGAGAGTGTAGAATTGCTAGTGAAGCCACAAACAGCCAACAAATGCTTGGGTTGGTCTGAAACTTCCCTAAAGGATATGTAGCTAAGGTTTTTTAAATTTTTTAAACTTATGATTATAGGAAGTCAGGAAATATGTGTGGCTACTTATGATTATAGGAAGTCAGGAAATATGTGTGGCTACTTATGATTATAGGAAGTCAGGAAATATGTGTGGCTACTTATGATTATAGGAAGTCAGGAAATATGTGTGGCTACTTATGATTATAGGAAGTCAGGAAATATGTGTGGCTACTTATGATTATAGGAAGTCAGGAAATATGTGTGGCTACTTATGATTATAGGAAGTCAGGAAATATGTGTGGCTACTTATGATTATAGGAAGTCAGGAAATATGTGTGGCTACTTATGATTATAGGAAGTTAGGAAATATGTGTGGCTACTTATGATAATAAGTCAGGAAATGTCTGTGGCTACTTATGAGTACAAGAAGTTAGGAAATGTTTGTCGCTAATGGGGTAATGAAACACGTGACTGAACAGATCAGGTCTGTAAAACAATTGAGGCAGACTGGGTTGATGAAACAATTGAGGCAGACTGAGTTGATGAAACAACTGGGACAGACCGGGTTAGTGAAACAAATGGGACAGACTGAGTTTACAAAAATGTGACGGATTAGGTTTGTAAAACAACTGGGGCATACTGGGCATGTAAAACAACAACTGGGACATACTGGGCATGTGAAATAACTGGGACATACTGGGCATGTGAAATAACTGGGACATACTGGGCATGTGAAATAACTGGGACATACTGGGCATGTGAAATAACTGGGACATAATAGGCATGTGAAATAACTGGGACATAATGGGCATGTGAAATAACTGGGACATAATGGGCATGTGAAATAACTGGGACATAATGGGCATGTGAAATAACTGGGACATACTGGGCATGTGAAATAACTGGGACATACTGGGCATGTGAAATAACTGGGACATACTGGGCATGTGAAATAACTGGGACATACTGATATGATGAGACAAGTGACTGAGACAGAACAGAGTTATGAAATAACTGAGACAGATTAAATTGATGAAACAAGGGACTGTGACAGACTGGGTTTATAAATTAGCTGTGACAGACTAGGTTTATAAATTAGCTGGGACAGACTGTGTTTATAAATTAGCTGGGACAGACTGGGTTTTAGTAACGGCTGGGAAAATTGGGTTTATAAAACAACTAGGAGTTTATAAACAACTAGGACAGACTGAGTTTATTATGTTTATGGAAACAAATGGGACACATTATGTTTATGAAACAAATGGGACATATTCTGTTTATGGAACAAATGGGACATATTCTGTTTATGGAACAAATGGGACATATTATGTTTATAGAACAAATGGGACATTTATGTTTATGAAACAAACGGGACATATTATGTTTATGGAACAAACGGGACATATTCTGTTTATGGAACAAATGGGGCATATTCTGTTTATGGAACAAATGGGACATATTCTGTTTATGGAACAAATGGGACATATTCTGTTTATGGAACAAATAGGACATATTCGGTTTATGGAACAAATGGGACATATTCTGTTTATGGAACAAATGGGACATATTCTGTTTATGTAACAAATGGGACATATTCTGTTTATGGAACAAATGGGACATATTATGTTTATGAAACAAATGGGACATATTATGTTTATGAAACAAATGTGACATATTATGTTTATGGAACAAATGGGACATATTCTGTTTATGGAACAAATGGGACATATTCTGTTTATGGAACAAATAGGACATATTATGTTTATGAAACAAATGGGACATATTGTGTTTATCGAACAAATGGGACATAGTCTGTTTATGGAACAAATGGGACACATTCTGTTTATGGAACAAATGGGACATATTATGTTTATGGAACAAATGGGACATATTATGTTTATGAAACAAATGGGACATATGTTTATGAAACAAATGTGACATATTATGTTTATGGAACAAATGGGACATATTATGTTTATGGAACAAATGGGACATATTATGTTTATGGAACAAATGGGACATATTATGTTTATGAAACAAATGGGACACATTATGTGTAGGAAAGAAAGGAATGCGACACAAAAAGTCCCATCCTCAGTGTGGAATTCCCACCTTGGCGATGAAAGCTGAAGTATCAATGATGGCGTAGATATGCTTGAGCCAGCCAGCTGCCTCCAGCCTCACTAGAAAGTCATTCATGGACGGCTTTTTCAGCTCTGACACTGAAACAGATGGCCATGTTGTTAGCTCCTTTTATAACAATTCAGGTCAAACACTGACATGCAGCACATCCTTGGTCAAACACTGACACATGGCAGCTCATTCTACGTCAAAAACTGATACCTGGCAGGTCATTCTAGGCTGAACACATTGAGGTCAAACATCAACACCCGGTAGCTCAACTAAGGTCAAACAGTGACATATGACAGCTCATTCTAGGTCAAACACTGATGGCTGGTTAGTTCAGTCAAGATCAAACAGTGACATATGACAGCTTTCTCTAGGTCACATTCTGACATATGGCAGCTCATTCTAGGTCAAACACTGACACCTGGCAGTTCATTCAAGATCAAACAGTGACATATGACAGCTTTTTTTAGGCCACAAGCTGACAGTATAAACCAAAAACATCAAAAACACACACAACTTATTTTCCACCAACATCTGCAGACTACCAAACATCAAAAAGACACACAACTTACTTTCCACCAACTTCTGCAGACTACCAAACATCACAAAGACACACAACTTACTTTCCACCAACTTCTGCAGACTTGCCCTCATCACGTGAATATTTTCAATGCCCAAGAACTGGAACTTCATATTACTGTAAAAGTTCTCATTTTCGTATCCTTTGCCTTGGGCTTTGTTGACCATAGCATTGATCTGTGAAGTGGAGGAGATAGGATGGCTGTTTTACATTCACTGGCAACAAGATAGAAATCTGGGTGGAATGGAGGGGTCCCACCTGAGGCCCCGCTAAACAAACTGTTAAATGTTAAAAAGGTTAAAGTCGAGAGGATCCACTTCTCTGCACCGGGTTTTATTCCATATGGCTCGGTCTCTCTCCGCAGAACGGCAAGCCACCTGTCGAGAGCATCGCACACAGCACGAACTCCGTAGCTCTAGCGACAATCCCCATGGATCTCCGTAAAAATTGCACTCGTGAACTAAAGGGCGCCGCCGTGAAACGATCCCACGACCTTCAGAGCGCCAGGCAAACGGCTTGACCACTTCGCCGCAACTGTAAGGGAACGAAGCTGTCAACCCTACCCACAACACGTACAGACGTTTTCTTTTAAGCTCCTCCCCTCCCGTTTGTGTCTGCTTGGGGTTTTCAGATTATATGTAAAACTTGAATTAAAATTATATATATTAAAAAAAAAAGAACCTAGACCTGCGAGTCAACCAGGTCTAAAGTGGGTATGAGGAAATGTTCTGGGAGATAAAGATGAGCAACATGATAAGGACCCCATGAGTCACTCGCTGAGTATTATTTGGTCAAGAAACAACCCGAAAACCATGTCACCGACACCCGATGTGGTAAGAACAGCAGCAGCAGAAACATAATCCCACCATTATCATCAACAACATCACCGACAACGGTAGCAAAATGAATACCAAAAATACCAGCAACATCGACCCGCACACCGCGCGCATACACACACACACACACAATCAACTTCAATGATAACAGCAAAAGACACCAACAGTAATAACAACTACAACAGCAATAAACATGACAACAAGAACAACATTAGCAAAAACAACAAAAAACACACACACATCAGCCCCAATACAAGCAACACAAACAACAGCAATAATATCACTAACTTTCAGGGTTCGCCCTGTTATGGGACAGTTCAGGATGATGATGATGAATCTCGTCATCGTACCCTGCGACCCTTAGTGCAACTCAGTACGTGCATACACACGTCGAAACGAGCATGAGCGAAGCGTAGCTTGGTCATTGACCAGCGGACTTCGCACGGGTGTGCACATTTTGGACCGGACGCTGAACGCTTGCTTGGGGGACTGCTAGGAAACTGGACGTGGGACGAGAGTGGAGATTTTAGTGACCGTTTGTTTTGACTTGTAGATAGGTACCAGTGTAGTTATTAGCTGTAACGTGTTCTGTTCGTAGTGTCCTTAAATGTATTCCCTTCGTTACAGAGTGTCATGTAAAGTAGTAGCTAGACTGTGGCAGTAGTTGTAACTAGAAGCCAGACCATGCTTTGCTGGTGGCGTTAACACTGTCGACGCACTTAGGCCTACACGTTGGCGTATGCCATAATATCTTTGGCATCGAGAGATAACGGGTTGAGCTGGCACTGTACGGGAGAGTGGTAGCGGCTCAGAGTTTATTTCCTGAACGTGTAAAGGCGCCTTTAAGCGATTTTAAAGTTAGACGCGGCCTGGGTTTTGAATAAGGAGCGCTACTCCTCCTGAGGTGTACCACCACTTCGTTTGCATCTTTGGTAATAAAGATTGTGTGTGTGTTGCAACAAGTGTTTGGCTTGAGTATGTTTGTACGGTGTTTTCCTGTCATTAGCCTATAGCAGAGCCAATGGAATCGAACCCTAGACAATTAGGTTCCTGACACTAACAATAAAAAACATCTTGCACAAAAGAACACCTTAGCATTCCACAAATCAATTGACGGTTCTGTTGAATCCCGCTGTCTGATTTTGGTCGATCCTGCTGAAACGTTCTCTAGGCATTTCCTCGGGACATTATTATTTTATATGTACTCAAATTGTTTCCGGCGAGCTCTCTTTTTTAGTGTTCTCCCTCTCTCTCTCTCTCTCTCTCTCTCTCTCTCTCCTCTCTCTATCTGTGTGTGTGTGTGTGTCTCTCTCTCTCGCCCAGTTTAACCTATTTACCATTGTCAATCCCTCAGGTACTCGCTCAAATATTCTCAGTCTCTTGAATTAAACATCTACCTTACTCTCAACACCACCCCCCCCCCCCTCTCGCTTGCACCTCGCCGTAATTCCCTTACTCTTCCTTATCAACAACTACCTCCTACTCACTCACTCACTCATTCGCTCATTATGTCTTTCGATTTCATCATAATCCCTAAAAACAGTAGTCAGGGTGTGAAAACCCAAGGAAAGAAAGAAATGCTTTCTGATTGTCCCATTTTTAAACTTACGAACAGAAGTTAGTACTCGCAAAATCCAGAAACACGCACACTCACGAAATGCATAAGTTAGCCGCCAGTGGTGCTAACACCAACGGTCACCACCACCACCAACAACAATAACCAACATTATCACCACCATCCTGTCTTGGTCGCTACTTCAAATATCCCCAGTCCTATTTGTACTCGAATCCCCAATTCTTTAACCCCCGACTCTTCCTCTCCGCCACCCACACTTAATTTAGTACTGCCAGCAATTAAGATATCCTCCATTCTATAAAAGAGAAATGCACAGTTATCCTAAGCTTTAAAAAACATAATCCTGTCACAACTGTGACATTCAAAATCTTTGTAATTTAATTGGTAAAACTGTTCCTTCTTTTTCCTTCGCGTTCACCGGCTCTCAACTCCGGTGGAAAGTTCTAGTTGTCCATCCACCTCTTGACTTTAGATTTGTTCCAGAACCTGAGTGTTGCGTGCGCGTCCATTTTACAAATCTGATTTATTTGTATGCAAACTGTTGGTTCTTTGCCTCTTAGACAGATTCACTCCGGCTACGAAGGAAACCCCCAATAAGTCGACTTTTAGACATGCTGGTTGGGGAGGCAGTGGGTCTATTCGTTCCCCTCTCCCCTTACAATAGGACCCCACAACCCGCACGGAAAAACTTCAAATTGCATAAAAGAACATTTTAGGGTTCAACCAATTCCCCTCCCCCTCCATTCTCGCTAATATTCACTGACTATTCCAATTAAGTTGAGACAAGAACCGACACCTCAGCACTCAGGGCATTCCATAAGCGTTCCGTCCAAACTGTCAGCAGCCAGCGCCAACATCAATAGTTCAAGTAGCAGTCTGATTATACTTCCGTTTTCTGTCCTTCCTCTGAGCGTCGAATATCGGCCAGGTCCTTGGTCACTCCTCGCTGCATCACTCTCACCAGACTGCGATGATCCATTTGCTGCTTCCAACTGCACACGTGCTCTCCATAGGGGAACTTACTATTCCCTATTAACAACTACCTTTCACTTTCCCGCCTACTCACATACTCACTCCCAACAGGTTCCTGGGGGAGGGGACAGACCAAAGCATGCCGTAAAAGGCAACTAATTAAGGACGTTTCCTTCGCAATAAGAGTGCAGCTGCCTGATAGGAGAGGAATAAATAGTCACTGCATATTAATAAGCCAGCTCTGTAAACTTCTGGAACAAGACCAAAGTCTAGGAGCGGTCGAATAACCAGAACTTTCCGCGAGAGTTTACAGCCGGGAAATGATAAGAAGAAGACAGGAAGAATAAAGAATCTAAAAAGTTAACACCACCACACCGCCAACAACAACCAACATCATCACTACCACTTAGTCACGGACGTTACTTGAAATATCTCCAATCTTATATGTACTTTAAACTCCCAAGTCTCAGACAGTTGCTACTTAAACGTATTTTAACCCAGGGTGAAATGTAATTAAAAACAGCGGTTAGCTCAGACGGGGCGCTAATTAAACACAACCACAAGTATAAAAAATCCTTTCCCAGATCTCTACACTCTTCCCACCCTTCTTATCCCACTCAACTCTCCACGCCCATCCCGCCCCACCCAGCCACACCATTTTCTCACACAAGTTGCAATATGCTTACATTGTGAGGTATTGTTGAAAACAATCTGAGCAAATACAGCAGTGGATCTCACACTAAAGTTAAGTGGTTGGATGGAGTAACACAGCGGGAAGAAGGAGCAGGACGACGAAGAAGAAAATGAGAAGAAGAAAAATGTAGAAGGAGAAGAAGAAGAAGATGCCGAAGACGAAAGAGAAGAAAAATAAAAGGAGGAAGAAAAACAAAAAGCAGCAGCAGTAGCAGAAGATACAGAAGAATAAATAGCAGCATCATCATCATCAGCAGCAGCAGCAGCAGCAGCAGAAGAAGAAGAAGAAAGAAGAAGAGAGAAGAAGAAGAAGAAGAAGAAGAAGAAGAGAAGAAGAGAAGAAGAAGAAGAAGAAGAAGAAGAAGAAGAAGAAGAAGAAGAAGAAGAAGAAGAAGAGAAGAAGAGAAGAAGAAGAAGAAGAAGAAGGAGGAGGAGAAGAAGAAGAAGAAGAAGAAGAAGAAGAAGAAGAAGAAGAAGAAGAAGGAGGAGGAGGAGGAGGAGGAGGAGGAGGAGGAGGAGGAGGAGGAGGAAGAAGAATAAAACGTAGCAGCAGCAGAAGAAAAATAGGAATAAACTCACAGGGAGCAAGTACAGCAGGGATCTACCAGTCATCAGTAGAAATTATCCTCGTCGACACGCGTTTCGGCCCACGATTCCTAGACGCATTCGGAGGTGGGCCCTCCTGAGTTCATGAAGCTCAGGGCTGGTTTCCTGCTGTACGGAATCACCGGATGGTGTTTTCCTTTCGGCCAGAGACAAGACGACTTGGTGGTTTCGCAGAAGGTACTGTGAGATAAGAAGTCGCTGCGGCAGCCTAATTAAAGCAGTCAGCATGCCTGGACGACCGAGCGACAAGATTACGTTTGGTTTACCGGACACATGTTGGACTTTTATTAGCAGGTGGTAGAGGATCACTGGCAGACAATTCGGACACCATGGACTTTCAAGGGGTGAGAAACCCTTTTCCACTAGACACCCGGACCAGCTCACCGAGGCCCGTCCCCTACGTTGTTGCGTTGCGTCCAAAGCCAGCTAGAGGCCCTTTCAGCTGCCTCTCCCAGTTTTTTGAGTGTTCGTTTCCGTTTATTACCGCGCAATC